ATCTTAATATCAGTTTTAAACACATCTTCACTATGTGGTACATCATACTTTAAATAAATAAACACTATTTTTCAAACAGAAATCTATACTTTAAGAAGACTATTTTAAAATATCCCTTTAATATACTTACTTTTTCCGTAATTTTCTTTAGCATGAAAGTTTGGCCAATTCTCCTGTACAAATGCCCAATATGATGGTATAATACCATTTACTAGTGCCTCACCAAATGCCAACGCTAGTCCTATAGCTATAAATAGTGTTTCCTCAACAAATTCAACAAATCTTAAAATATGGATCCAAACAGTATGGTTAATACACCAAACATGCTCTCGGATATCGATGAATATGTAAGTTTCTTTTTTAAGGATTTCTTATGAAAATTTTATTTGTTATTATCTTTTTTACTTTTAAGAATTCAATAACTATTATGCCTGAATCTACACCGGCACAAGTTACTCACTGGTTAACCTATCATCGTTTAACTTCATACTTATCAACATTTGCCCATTTTTCGGGAGCCGATATTATGAGGTAATTAACAGTATATTTTATACTTACTTACTTACTTACTTACTTACTTACTTACTTACTTACTTACTTACTTACTTACTTACTTACTTACTTACTTACTTACTTACTCTTACTTACTTCTTACTTACTTATTACTTACTTACTTACTTACTTACTTACTTACTTACTTACTTACTTACTTACTTACTTACTTACTTACTTACTACTTACTTACTTACTTACTTACTTACTTACTTACTTACTTACTTACTTACTTACTTACTTACTTACTTACTTACTTACTTACTTACTTACTTACTTACTTACTTACTTACTTACTTACTTACTTACTTACTTACTTACTTACTTACTTACTTACTTACTTACTTACTTACTTACTTACTTACTTACTTACTTACTACTTACTACTTTACTTACTTACTTACTTACTTACTTACTTACTTACTTACTTACTTACTTACTTACTTACTTTACTTACTTACTTACTTACTTACTTACTTACTTACTACTTACTTACTTACTTACTTACTTACTTACTTACTTACTTACTTACTTACTTACTTACTTACTTACTTACTTACTTACTTACTTACTTACTTACTTTACTTACTTACTTACTTACTTACTTACTTTACTTACTTACTTACTTACTTACTTACTTACTTACTTACTTACTTACTTACTTACTTACTTACTTACTTACTTACTTACTTACTTACTTCTTACTTACTTACTTACTTACTTACTTACTTACTTACTTACTTACTTACTTACTTACTTACTTACTTACTTACTTACTTACTTACTACTTACTTACTTACTTACTTACTTACTTACTTACTTACTTACTTACTTCTTACTTACTTACTTACTTACTTACTTACTTACTTACTTACTTACTTACTTACTTACTTACTTACTTACTTACTTACTTACTTACTTACTTACTTACTTACTTACTT